GTCTAGAAACATTACTAGCACTAAAAAGTCCAGGCTATAATTTTTTGGAAAGAGATCCTGAAGCTAAAGTAGCTTAACATATTAGAGGGGACCATTCCCATGAAAACAGCAAATATTCCAAGTTCGGAAGGGGAGCATTTTCCTTTAAAAAGCAATTTTTAAAAAACCATTTCAGTCCGCTGACCTTTTCCGAGTTTGCAACATTTTTCGGTGGCTTCATGCTTTTCTGCAAAGTTTTAAGTGACTTTCTTTGAAGAGAGCTATTTAATGCCAATGATTGTAGAAAACATTTGTTCATAATTATCCAGACATAGACTGGAACAATGCTGAAACAAGAGCAGCATGCAAAAATGTATTTAAGGACTATCATCCCAAAATGCTGCTAAAAGCTATTAACCAGTATGTGTTAATTGCCACAGCATTCATATTAATTTTCACTTCAGGCTCGACATTGTGGAATATTTCCCCTGATACATTTTAAACAAAGTTTAATTTAAGGAACTGCTTCTATCAACACTTATGAAAATTAACAGCCAAGCAATTAGCACTCATGAATTATCCCTTCCCCCATGCTCTCTGCAGCTTCCCTGTTAAAACAGTTTCTAACAGAGATATGGTTACTTTCTAACAAGTTAACATAATCAAAGTCACAGTTGTCTACATGAACCAGAACTGGTTCTGCCTTTTTAAACGCTTGTCAAGGCAAACATTCTCCCTATATTTAGAGTAGAATTTATCTAAGTCAAATAAGTAAGATATTTAACATCTGAGTAAACTGCCAAGCAATTACTAATACGAAACTGCCTTCTCACCTGACGTTTAAAAACTAGCCATTGCCAAATAATAAAGGGAGTAAGTAATTACTGGTCTTAACCTTTCCATTTAAAGTTCAAGGCCAAAACCCCATTGGACTCCCTGGACTTCAACAGACAAGCCACCTTCCCCCAGTCTGCTGCACATCTTGTTTAACGATGCTTACCTAAACTCCTGGCTTTAAGAGCACATGTTCTCTCACTCCATCCTGTCAACAATCTAATGAAGCACAGAGAAGAGATAGCTTCACTCGCCCCCAACCTTTACGGAGAGAGAAAGGGAGAAGCGGGGTATTTGTTGAGTGCTTTCTATGCGCTACGTGTCTTGCTAAACAGTTTTAGCTCAGTTAATCCTCATGAAGAAGATACACTGTCATCAGCTCATTCCACATAGGAGGACTGGAGCTTCAAGAAAAAAGAATAAGCCTGAGGTCACACCATAAGTGGTAGAGTCAGGATTCAAACTCAGCTCTTATCACAAACTAGGTCTGTTGACAAATAACACTGCTCATTGTGCTAGGTATTTTATCCGCTGTGATGATCTCATCAGCCTTGTGAGGAAAAAACTTTTCATAGGTAAATAAACTGAGGTTTGGAGAGGTGAAAAAACCTGACCCAGATGGCACGACTGGTAATTAGCACCATTTCTTTGTTAGTAACTGTACTGACAGGTAATGGGCATTTCAACTTCTGATGCTCTACTGATGACAATATTTGAAAAATACTGATTATGTGCTAGGAAAAGCTTCTCAAGTAAGTGATAATGCATGGAAAGGAAAGGGTGAGACACTTAAAACACGACCTCATTCGAAAAGGTAGAGGGACTAGGCAGAAGTCCACATATTTAGGGGCACTTAAATCAGCACTGAATGTTTACTGCCTATCCCTAGAGACCCCTCCCTCATCACCTCAAATCAACTCCTTGTCACACCCGACGTTGCCCACATACAGGAAAATCACAGGACTGGCACAGGAAGTTTCCAACTGTCTCATCCTCTAGAACAGAGGTTTTGTTTTGTCGATGAAGCTATTCAGAGGTCCTGTTTTCAACAAGCCCGAAGAACCGGGGCAGATGGTTCTGCCTGGTCCTGCCTTATCCAACTTAGCATTCCCTATATAACCACTTGCGATCTATTTTGGACTTTTTTCAAATGATCAATAAACAGAGTTACTAATAATCTATGAAATTAGAACATAACACAGAGAGCATCACCAATTTGCCAAAGAAATAATATGAACATAATAATAAACTTGATCAAAAAAACTGTCAAAATTACAGCAAGGTACATGGCTAACTACAGCCCTTCCCTCTCAACTGCATGCCTTCAAGAAATTAACCAACCTCAATTTAAAAAAATAAATTTATTAACCAGCTACAGGAACCAAAAATCATTTGAAAGTATTCGCTTTAATTTAGCACAATAGCTAAGAGATGCTTACTCTCAGAATCACTAAAACCAACAACCCCGTTTGCACAAACCGTTAAAGACACTAGATGTGCCAGCTTAACTACAATGTAATTGTAAAGCCATATCAAACACAAAACCCTTTTTTCAAATCTAATGCTAGCTTAATCTTAAGGGGGATTTCACAGCAGCTAGTCTCTTGAGGAAATACATAATTAAGTAGTTTTTTAGCATATTTAATTAGACCCCAAACTCTTCCCTGTCCCCTTCTCTCCCCAATTATGTACCATTTGCCCAAGAGACCTAAGCAACTCAGTTAATTATGTAAATAAGGCAAATGTTATTCCCAAGAAAAGCATTGTGAATATTTGTAGGGGGGAAAAAAAAACTACATATTTTAGCGGCTTTAACAAACCTTTGCAAAAAAAAAAAAATAGAACTATCAAAGTACATGGGAAACCTTTACATTTGAGGCAAATAACATTAAGTTCAATGACGAGACACTGAATCATTAAAACAGAACACAGTTCACTTCTTAAATATGAGCTGAATAAAAATAAAATAATTTTAAGTTACAACAGCAACAAAAATTTAGTGCTGAATGTCAAATGATTTATGGGAAGAATCAATCTGGAAATTATTAAAGTCGACTCTCATAGAAAAGGCTTTGTTATCAAAGGGTTGACATGATCTTAACTCCAGAGGCAGCCATGGTGCTGTTATAACTACTACAATCCCATTATTATGCAATCACGAAATGCTAATTTGATCATTTTGAGGTGTTATTTGAATAGTCATTTTAATTTCTGGGTTACAAAAAGGCTTGACTCAAGTATAATTCTCTATTAATCATTGAGATGTCATTGAAGATCATATTGATGCATTTCACAAAGATAAAGAAAGACTAATTTAATATGTACAGTACAATATCCTTCAAATATTAGCCACTTTCATTACATATCTGCCAAATGCATCAATATTAAATAATAGATGAGAACAAGGGTTTAATTGTATTTTAGCAATTGTAATACGTAGGACAATAATAAAATAGCAACTCATCACAAGATAGACTTATAGATATATAAATCTTTCTTAATCAATGTGTAATGGTGACTGCCCCATGCTCACATTCTTTGCTGATTACAAACAGGCTTGAAATGACAAAAGCATCCAGAGCTTTTAGTGTAAACACACATCTAGCAAAAATAATTCCTTGTGACTGAAACTGCTTCTTTACATTTAAAAAAAATTTTTTTTCCTGTTACTTCAGAAGTTAAATATATATCAAGTAGAGGCCACAACCTTATGACAAATTCAAACCTAAATTTATAAAAAAAATCTAATGGTATGAGAATTCCAGAATATTTTAAAAGAGCTGTGCTATTTTGTGGGTTTCAATGCATTAGCACATATTAATTGTTGTAGCAATTACATCCTCAAACAATGACATGATTTCAGGCAATGGAAGCAAATAAATTCCAATCATGTAACCTAATCCCCAAAACTTCTCATGTATCTAAATGAATCAATTGTAGTATTTAAGAAAAAATCCTCGACAGTCTAACTTGCCATTTTCCAGAGGCTGACATTCCTGTCCCCTAGGGGGATCCTTCCTTCTCTTTGCTACTTTCCACAGGAAGAAACAGGAGAAGCAGCAGGGGCATTCTAAAAGAGAACCTTTATATCAGTGCAATCTCTAATTTACTAAAAGTACTTTCAGATGTTTTCTGGAGGAAACTCCTGAGCATAGCAGTATCTTTATTTACACATTTTGTTTCTAGTTCTTGCTCCCCTTCCCCACCAACATCAATGACCACACGTGCCAGTGGCCACACATGTTCACTGAAGCCTATGGAAATATACTGCAATGTATGAGGTCAAAGTGTTGCCATGAGAAAACATCTTCTTGTTCAAAGATGACAACTGACAGAAGCAGCACATAACCAGAACTTGAACATGAAAAATGCAAACATAAGCAAAGAGCTATATATTTATTAATTGCAATGGTGTTGAAATAAGACAAATTGAACACAACTCCTCCGGGCAACAAGCTATCACTCAGCACCCCCACACCACTGCCAGACAGCAAACATAATGGCAATAAATATATAAATCAACGGCTACTGTCTCCTGAAAGAGGCCCAGCTCAGCATAGAGACACAGAATGGTGGGGAAATGGACATGGGGGGCCCACATACGGAACTATATTCTACCTAAAATGGTGGCCATTTTTCTAAAAGGAAAATAAACTTTAATTTTACAATTGCAAATTGTTACAACAAACATTAAAAGATAAAGTCATCCTGTATAACAAGTGTCAAACAAGATTCCCTACAACGAAATATGAACAAGCAAAGCAATGGCCTAGAATTCTGAAATGAAGCTCTAACCTCAAAATTTCTGCAGTTATAATAAAGAATCAGACAAGACAATGCTAAGTGCCTCCCAGAACCACTTGCAAGGCTTTAGCAACACAATTAGGCCTTGATTAATCACAATCCAACTAACCCAAGTACACTTAAGAGAGAAAAAAGGGGGAAAAAGTACAGACACATATATCTCAGGACTGTTTTTGTTTTAATTCTCCTAAACATATTACTGTGGAAACGACATTGAGCCCAAATTCAGGCCTTTTAATATTCTTGGACTTAGAAAATGTCAGTGACATTCTATAATTACTGAGTCATTTTATAAACCCTAAATACAATAACAACAATAATAATAACAGGAATTCCACTTGACTGAGGCTTTACTTAAAGGACAAAGTTTCATTTTTACTTACCTTGCCATCGAATTTGGAATACTCATTAAAGGGGTTATTCAGCTGCAGAGGGCACTGCTCCAGGCGTACAGACAATATGGACTGTTTTCCAGAACTTGGAGGTTTCTCTTTGAGGGACTTTTTTTCAAACAGTGACCTTAGCTCCTGGGCTGTGATATAAGAGGAAGATAAAAACAACTTTGTGATTACACACAGAGAGACAGCCTGCCCACTTTCTTGAAAAAGTCTTCCTTAGAAGCTTAAGGAGGGAAAGTCCAGGGACGCACTCAGACCTAACGTGTGCCAAAAGCTTCACACACGCCGGCGTCTGCGCCTTGAAAAGGCACAATGCTTTTAAAACACGCAGGTCAGGACTGTCCATTTAGAAGGTCTAGGATTTAAGGAGAGAGGCAGAGCAGACAAACCGACAAGGCACCATTCTTCAAGAAAAGCATTCGCAGCTAGAGGACCTGAGCTTTGGCTTGGCTTTGCCGCTAAGCTGTCTAACACTGGAAAATTCATTAAATCTTTCTGGGTTTGTCAAACTAGATAACTATGACGATCTCTCCTGGCTCTACCATTGTGTAATTTTGGAATTCTGGTTCTTCAAGGTCAAGGTTCACGTCTCAATTCTCACACACTCTACAATGACACCTAGCACAAAAATCTGGAAGACAAAGATGAAGGGGAGAAAGAGGAGAAAGACAGTAACATGTACTGAGCAAGCCAATGTATCTCGTTTACTCCTCAAAACAAGCCTGTGAAGGAGACACTCGCATTATCTCAATTTTGTCAATGTGGAAACTAAAGCTTAGAATATTTGATTAGCCTTGCACCACACAGCTAGTAAAGAGCAGAGTTAAGATGTGCACTCTTAGCCATTAGGCACTAATGAACACTGTAGACTCTCAATAAATTTTGTTGCATGAATCAATGAATAAAATAATGACTGAAGGAATTTAGATTAAATTATTATTGAATCAGAATCTTTAACTCCTGTTCATTAGTGAATCAAGACAAGTTAGTTCCATATCTTCTCAAAGATCATTTAATTCTCTAAATTAACCTGAGAATTATTTAAAGTAGTAACTTGATAAGTACATGGAGATTCATTACGTTTCTCTTTTTATTTTTTGTGATTAGAAAATTTCATTCTTAAATTTTTAAATAAATCGATCTCAGATCTAAAAATGTGCAATGAATAGGTTCAGCTCTGTTCTACTCTTCAGTATAGCCAAATTGAACTGAAAGAGATCGAACAGAACTCTGAAATGATCGCTTAGAACTTTTAAAAAATGTAACCAAAACTATCTTTTCAACAAACTAGTGGGGCAAGTTTATCAAATGAGTTCCCATAAGTTTAAGTGGCAAACAAGGATAAAAGGACCTAATTCTTTTTAAATATTAGAAATACTATTCTACCTGTAATCTATTAACAATTTTATTGCCACTCTTGGAAAGGAATGATCCTTTAAATAGCTACCATGGGCCAGGGACAATGCTAGGTGTTTGCTCACCTTGTCCTCAGGACAGTCCTAAGAGATAAGTTACTACTAGCTCCACGAACAAACTGAGGTATAGCAAACACAAGTAACTTATCGAAGCTACACAACTGTTAACCAGCAGGGTTAGGTGTGAGGTGATGATGCTTTAACTGCTCCATTCACAGGCTAGTTCACACTTAGAACTCTCTCCTCAACCTCTGACACTTTCCCTTTTCCTCTTTTGTTTTCTACGCGGAGGAATGGAAACATCCAAAAGAACTTTTGCATGATCTCGCCTGCACTTCTATCTATCTTCCCTCCTATTACCAGGGCTGAACGGCCATTGCCCCTCTCTCAGGCCAGCCCCTCCTTTGGGCACTAGGTCCCAACTCCTCTTGTAGATTCAAGGGCATCACTCAAGCAATTCTCTCCATCTCTCTTCCTTTTTCAGTTTTTCCCTCTTACTGGTTTAGTCGCATTAGTACACAAAGATATGGAAATACAGCTCATTTAAAAAAAATCCTTTGATCTCACTGTACTCCCTTCTAGTTACGACCCTATTTTTCTGCTCCTCAAAACGGCTGTGTCCTTGCTGTCCAACTGCTCTCCTCCCATTCACTGGAAGCCACTGCAGCCAGGCACTCAGGCCCCAGCACCCCACCGCCCCACCACAGCAGCTTTCATCAAGGTCATTGATGATCCCTTTGTTGTTAAATCTATCGGTCATTTTTTAATTCTCATTGTACAAGACCCCTCGGCAGCATTTGACACAGTTCATCACTCCTTCCTTTTTGAAACACTTTCCTCACTTGGTTTCCAAGACTCCCCTCTATCTGGTTCCCATTGTAACTTTCAGCCTCTGCCTTCTCAGACTCCTTTCCTCCTTCTCCTCTGCATTTTCCCTCCATCTTTGGCTTTCCCCCAGGCATAGTCCTTGGACCTTTTCTTTTCTCTATCTACAGTCACACCCTTAGTGACCTCATCAAGCCTTATGTTTTAAATGTCCTCCACAAGAGACAACACTAAATTGTGGTCATATGAATCAAAACAATGTTGCCTCTGGGAAGTAGCCTGACTAAAAAGGGTCAAGAGGAAACTTTCTGGGATATAGAAATGCTCTATACTTGATTAAGATGCTAGTTACACAGGTGTATATGTCTGTCATCAAACTGTACATGTAATGTCTCTACATATCAATATATTTGAAGCATATCTCAATAAAAAAATAAATTAAAAGGGAAAACCTAAATATATGTCCTCTATATGCTGAAAACTCCCAAATGATTATTCTTGGACCTAAACGCTCCCCAAAATTGCACTTATATATTCAACTTTCCACCTGACACTTCCACTGGGATGTCCAATAGGTACCTTGAATTTTACAAGTCCATACCCAAACCCCCGATTTTCCCCTAACCTTGGCCCCTTACAACCTTATGCTCTCAATTCTGTTGGCCAAAAACTTAGGAGTCATCCCCACTCCTCTCTCCATCTCACAGCCTGCATGCTCTCCATCAACAAAACTTCAGAAGATATTCAGAACCACCGACAGCTACCAAGGCTGGATCATTACCACCTTCAAACTAGTCATCTTATTTTAATCCTTGCCTCCCCAAACCCCACCCCAACCACTACGAAGTTTTTAAAATATAAGTTAAAAACTTCAGAATAAGAAAAAAATTGATAAATTTTATCACATAAAAATAAAAACAAACTTTTGTATGGGAAAAAAATTAGCAAAGCAAAAACACACACACACACACACAAATAAGGAAAGAAAAAAGGTTAATATTCCTGATATATAAAGATTCTAAAAGTAGAAAAAACACTGACTGACATTGCAAAAATCAAACAACCTCCACCCCAAAAAATTGCAATGAATTGAAAAATACAAAATATGCTTTAAAAACCCATGAGTTCATAAAGATACAAGAGGAATATGAAATATCTACAGAAAAAGATATATTCAAATGGCTCTTAAAGAAATGGAAAGATGCTCAATCACATTCATAATAAAAGATGCGCAAATTAAAACTATATTGAGGTACCATACTACGTTTTTAGATGGGCAAAAATCTAAAAGTTTAAGGCTAGGAAATAGGCACTCTGTACATTTCTGGAGAAAATGCAAAATAGCAAAACACTTATGCAGGAAAATGCGGCAATAACAAAGGAAGCCACATACTTACCCTTTGACCCAACAATACCATTTCCAGGATTCTAATCTTAAATACACTGGCAAAAAACGAAAAAACAAAAACAAAAAACACAACACAACATATAAGGCAATTCATTATGGTGCCCTTTGCAAAAGCAAAAGCCTGAAAATAATCAAATATCCATGAACAGGGGACTGGCGGCTAAACTATGGTACATCCATACTATGGAGTACAAGGAAGCTGTAAAATGAAATGACGTCAATCTTTATACATTCACCAGAGTAATTTTCAGAATGTGTTGCTAAGTGAAAAAAGTGTTGTAAAAGAGTGTATATAATATGCTATCTTTAATCTAAAAAGAAAGGGATGGGAATGTAAATATATTTATATGTAGTTTTAAGTGGACAGAAAAACCAAAACCTTTTTTAATAATGACTACAAGAAGAATGGGAGAGAAAAGAATTTAAGCTAGATTTTTTTGATTTTATTTTGTTTTGTGTATTCAACTTTGGAACCATGTAAATGTTTCACATTATTAAGGGAAATTAAAAGTGCAATCTAAAAATAAAGAAAAATGAAATAAATATTGTAATATTGAGTTGACAGTTTAACGACAAAGAGGAATTATTTTAAGTAACTTTATCACATAGCAATTTGACTATACATTTCCTAATAAACATTATCAAAAGGGCAAAAAAAAAAAACCAAACTGTTTTTAGTAATCATATTGTTAGTAATGACATCGGTATTTCTATTCTGGAACCAAGTTTTCTGTGTAAGAGAAAACATACATAAACATAAAATTTTTAAAGTTAACTCTGTAATCCTAAATTTGAATAGAAATTATCGGCATTAACTCACAGTGTATTTTCTCTTTAAAAATCTATTTTTTTCTGAGCTCTATCCCCTGAAAGGGTCTACAAGGGAAAAACACCAATCCAGTGAGTAAATCCTAGAGCTCAAGTTGGGAGTCTCTTAATGTCACTGAACAGTAAAAAGAACTAAGAGCCCCTGGAGAAATGGCTTCCCGATCTGCAAAAGGAAATGTGTAAGAGAAGCCTGGAACATCTTCTCATACAAGAAAGCAAGAAAGTTATGAAAGATTACTGAAATTATGTCAAAAAAAAGTTAGAGGCCAATATGGAGGGACTCATGATAAAAACTGACAATTTTTACATTAAAAAAAACCCAACTACAATGAAATGAAAAATATAAAATATGCTTTAAAAACACATGAGCTCATAAAGATACAAAAGGAAAATACCCTCATTGGTCATCTATGTAGGATACTAGAGAACAAACTCTTTTCATTCTGAAAACCATTAAAAATGGGAAAAAAATCAGTGTTTGCCTTGCCTTCCTTGTAGGGACTATATCTGGGGATAACCAAATAATAGATTAGGAAAACTTCTTTACATAAACAAATTAATAAATGAAGATAGACTGATAAAATTAGAAATCATTACTTTGCAACTCCTAATGAAATAATACATTTAGGTAATGCCCATCAATGGCTACAAAAACCAT